GTGCCGCTGCGGACTAGACCGTCCATGGCTGTATATATGTGCTCAACTATGGATGCTAATAGTGAGATCAATTATTGAGCCGGAGAAGATTTTAGGTTGCTATAGCCTATTGCAGTTCACTTTGATCTTATATACAAGCATAAGTAAAGAATTTTTACTTTTTAGTGTTTGAAACAGCAAGTCAAATACACACAGCAACCACCAGGAACGTCTTTCAGTATTATTTGTACTACCATAAAATTACACTTGGCTATGTTGGGACGAGATATTTTCAAATTTTAAGCAATTGAAGTAAAGCTATTTAGTAAGGAATGGATTACCAAATGTTGATGGGGGATGGGAAAATCCTCATATGAGCATTATTGTAAATGTTGGAATTTTTGGATCGCTGGGCCCGCCCCACTCTAACGACACCGATACTGTCCCCACTTAATCACCTGCACAATCCTCAGGTGTGGGGTTTTACCACAAAAGGCCTCGGTATTAGTTAGAGTGGGGTAATACTATTTAAACCCCTTTGGTTTTCTTCACCCCACCGATGTGGGACAGTTTAACACTCCCCCTCACGTGTAACCTCATTTAGTGGTTTACACGTGGAGATCCACATCGGTGATTGAAACTCAGAGGTCGGCTGACGTTGGGCCCACTTGTTTTCAATTGGAACTCAGCGGTCGTCTCTATATTAAGAGCTCAGACTTGTTTCCTTCCGGGTGGTGACAAGCTCGTTGGCTTGCACGGGCCCGCAACCGTGGGCTCTGATACCATGTTGGAATTTTTGGATCGCTGGGCCCGCCCCACTCTAACGACACCGATATTGTCCACACTTAACCACCTGCACAATCCTCAGGTGTGGGGTTTTACCACAAAAGGCCTCGGTATTAGTTAGAGTGGGGTAATACTATTTAAACCCCTTTGGTTTTCTTCACCCCACCTCATATGAGCATTATTGTAAAGACATGTGAGAGAGATTTGCAAATCACTACTTAAAATGAGTCATTTACAAGTCTCTCTCACATGTTTTTGTAATGCTTATATGAGAATTCTTTTTAATCCCTCCTATCAACATTTTGTGTTCTATTTTATAAACTAGACTTTAATCTCTTAAGACTTGGAAATTCCTCACACAAACATAGCATCAGGAAATGTACCAGATTGTTTTTTATTACATATAAGATCATTTATACCTAATTTTTAGTCCTACCTATGAAAATTCATGTGTGTGGTTGTCACAAATATCTAGTGTTACTAATTCACATACTTAATTTAATAAAAAAGTACGACATATATTTTAGGGCATAGACTAACGTGGTAGACCAATTGAGCATAACAATGTCCTCGATTTTTTCATTCATATTCGAATCCTTCTAGTAGAATATCATTTTGTTAACAAAAAGTGTAGTATAAGATGTCCAATAGCCAAATTAAGCACAACTACAAGCATGGATCTGACCATCAATATTTTGGAATCCCAATTACATGGGAGTTCCCTTTCCTGACATTTGACCAACAAGTGCATAGGATTTAATTAGATAGGTGTAAAATATTCGATGATTTCAAGCAAAGTATTTCTAACTAGAAGTGCAACATATGTATTTTTATATTGACTTTGGATTTTGCTTACGAATTTGAAAGCCTTTCTTATAACAAATAACAATACGATAAACGATGTCCATTACAAAAACGATAAGATCGATCGATAATCCATTTGCTTTTTCAAATGGGCTAATTGGACTGTTAGACTAAAAAACAAATTAAAAAGCACACACCAGAATAAAATTAAACATTTCCCTAACCTGCATCCTTTGGAGAAAAAGCTTAATAAAAAAGAAAAGCACATTGTTCTTATCTAAAGATTCAAGATATATCGATCTTCTACATTTTCTCATCCGAACTTTAAGTTTACCAGATTTGAGAAGAGGACCACCAATTTTGAGAGCTATATATGGGATGGACCTACTGGTGCTCATCTATTACATGTACTGCAGGCTTAATCTGCAGCAGCCAGCAGTACCCAGGCTTTTAGGCCTTTAACTAGCTTAATTAATATAGGCATCATGCATTTGCGTCTGGAGAAAAATATTTTTTTTATCACAAGTTATATACAATCAGGCATATGGTTTTATTATTATGCAATTAGTTATGTGATTAGTGATAGACACATGCATAATTGTGTATAACGAATGACAACTAATAATTTTATTGAAAATCTCTTATCGGTGAATCAACAAAAATTACAATATGTAATAAAAGCAACCTCACACCTCGCACAGCTAGGCATGTGGGAGATAATTGTGAAAGAGAGAGTGGAGAACTATTGGCCCGTCTCTTTGAAATTTAATAACTTTTTCTCCTATGTTAAGAATATGCAATACTAGCCAGTGACCACCTAACAAAGGGGCTTCACATTTGAGACGGTCCATGAAGAACAATAGAGTAGCTTATAAAGTTCACCAAATATAGCAGCTACCTATCCAGCAAGCGGAGATGTTATTAATGGAAGTCACAGGCTCCCAGCAGATCCGCAGTGCCAAATTTATTATCAATCTTAACCTTCAATTTTCATTTGTACCAAAATACATAAATTAATGAAGCTTGCATTTATGGCTGTGTATGCGTTTCCAAAGTCTGAGTCAGAGCAGTTCACGTAAAAGAAAGCACCATTTTAATTCAGTAAATTCTTGAGCAATTAGCCGTATCACCATTCTTCCATGGAACCACAGAGGCAAAGCTTGATGAGTCCTGTGACTATCTGTTACTTAAACATGCAAATCTCGTAGCTTTCATGTGACCTCTTCTTTTCATACCACTTTCTCCTGTGATTTGGTTCAATACTTTCTTCTTAATTTTTCTCATTTCTCCAGCCTCATTCCTCTATATATTCATCTCCTTCAACCCTTTTCTTCTTACCAATATCTCAATCCCACAACATCCTCTCTAGCTTGCAAAACCCTATTGTTTTCCGAAACAAAAGAAGAAAAAAGAAGCAAAATTAAAAAAAATCATGAAGGGTTCAATTTGTGTAGCTACATTTGTTGTTGTCCTTCTTTTCCTTCCACAAGCCATGTCCGCAAGGCGCATAGCTCGGCCTCATTCACGTATGATTACTCTGGATTAAACTTATTTATTATAAACTGTAATTAATTAACATTAAACAAGTCTTCGTTTTTCTTTTTTTACATTTTTTCTGATGATAAAATATGTCATGCAGATCATCATGGGCGCCATCTGAAGAGTACAATTAGAGAAGCATTGGTGGAGAAAAAGGCAAGTAATTATAAGAGAGTTAGGGGGCCAGATACAGTCCAAGTGGCAGGGTCGAGCTTGCCAGATTGCTCCCATGCTTGTGGATCTTGCAGACCATGCAGACTAGTGATGGTGAGCTTTGTTTGTGCATCAATCACTGAGGCTGAAGCATGTCCAATGGCTTACAAGTGCATGTGCAAAAACAAGTCTTATCCTGTTCCTTAGTTTCACTTGTTCATCACTGTGATTATTCAACATCAACTAATTTAGTCAAATTTTCCTTCTTTTTGAACCCTCCAATTTCTTTGCTAGGTAGAGATTTTGTGTAACCAGAGTGTTTGTTACTGATGTTTAATATTATAAAATCACCAAAGACTCGAATTTTCTTCGTTCAGTGGGTTCAAAATTATCTAAAGTTTAATCTTCACGAAGAGCCTTTTATGTTCTCTATTTCATATGTAACAAGCCACGAAAGTAAATTAGCTTAAGCATATAAGGAGCTCCATCCTCTGGCAACCAGCATCTTGGATGTTAAAATTTTATGAGTAAAAGATGGAACTAAAAAAATACAACACAAGTTTAGGTATTAATATGGTGCTGGATCGCCTTTGCTGATATACGTAGCAACGTTGAGTTGAAGCTTATTATTTTCGGCGACCGTCACAACTCTAGCCCTTTTTTGGATGACTTAAGGTATTTCTGGGCTTTGTTACATTTGTATGGCCATTGCCCCAAAGTTACAGAAAAAAGAGGGGTGGGGCATGTTAAAATTAGTTAAGCATGACATTAAATAACACTCTTAAACACTTCAACTGTGATATTCATCATATAAAATAGCACTCTTTGTGTCATAATGATCATGAAGAACGACCTCCAACAACGCATTTAACACTCAAAATGAACAGTTTGTATAGGTTGTAACTTGTAGTGGATTGACTATTTATGTAATCTCATGTTAATTTTATGAACGTAAGATCATTGTGGATTTTGATAATGAATAATCGAATAAATCATACGGAAGTCTAGCCAATTATAATTATTAGAAAAATTATAAAAAAAAGAAGAAATAAAGGGCCAAAATTACACCATAACTAGATTTCAAACTCAAATACGTATAGGTGAGCATATAATTTATATCGTCATGTTTATGTTTGTGAGTCAAATGATTTTAGTTTGTACATTTAAACCCGTGTTAGAGTAACATAATTTTGCACGTGCGAGGCCACAGGGAAAAGAACAAACCCGCCAAGGCCAAAAGAGAAGCACCGGAGGGAGAGCAAATGTCTAGGCTGGTTTGCAGGAAATTGACTGGTTTGATATGACAGATTGACACAAAACTTCCCAAAACAAAACAATTCCTTTTTTGAATGCAAGAATGCAAAATTGTTAACTCTAAAAAAAACAAAAAAAGGGATAATGTCATTCTTCCTCCTCCTCCTCCTCCTCCTCTTCGTTCTGTATCATTCCTGCTCCCACCACCACCACTTTCTTCCAGCGGGCCCTGCCGTGACACCATCATCGCCAACAGAACCACCACCGCCAACATGTCTCCTCAGATGCCATAGCAGGTATTCTCTCTCTCTCTCTCTCTCCCTCCTCTATGGATTGTATGTTGCAACGTACATAATATTTGTCTTGTATGTCAATGCTATGAGTGCCGAGGTACCCACCCACCTCACCTTTTCAGAAAAGTTTCAATCCTTGATCGTAAATTATGCAAAAGGAAGGCCATTAATTGTGCTATTAATCTTTTCCCTCTAAAAAGTTCCCATCTTCAAAGCTTTTGGGGCACCAAGCAATTATGCCATGATTCCATTCCTTGATTTTCTGTGTTTTTCCTTAAAGTGATTTGGGATAGAAAAAAGGAGAAAAAGCTGAATAATTGTGAGGTTAAATTATAGGAGAATACTGAAGAGCATGAGTTGTTGAGCGCAATCATTTTGCCTTTGCCACCATTTTTTTTTCATATACTTTTTGTTTTTGGCCTTTTCGCTTTCGGTTAAGGAGGGTGAAAGATTATCTCTTTCTCTTCCTCTTTCTGGATTTTAGCCTCCTCATGAGATCAAGGAAGCGTAGACAATGCTTTCCTTCTTGCTCTTCCTTTCGCAAAGTGAGCTTTTAATTAGTCCCATCTCTCTTTCTGTTTGTGAATCGAAGATTCGTGTTACTAACTGTTGATTTTTTCTCCCATTGATATTTACTCTTAGAGCCTTTTCTAATGGTTCATGACAGGTTTTGTTTTTACTTTTTCCTCAGAACGTGTTTATATCAGTTGAACGATTTTATTTTTCGTTGTGTTTGCCACATTTTTAAGGAGTTAGAACTTTGCCTTTCGTTTGTGTGCTCTACGTGCTCTGTTGGCTTCTAAATGTTTGATGTTATCACATTAGACTAGAGGTTATTGGATCGGTCCATAATTTGAAACCTTTTCTATGCTATCGTGTGTTATGTGCAACGATTTATAAGTATTGAAATGCTACCGAATGTAGGTTGATGAGGATGAAAATTATAGGAGACGGAAAAAGTGCAATGAAGAGTTGGAATGGCCACACAATTCAACTCATGTCAAATCGCAGTTAACTCAATGTTTTAGTGAGTGGAGTGTTTCTCTTCCATTCAATTCTTCTTTTGGTTCCCAACAGAGGAAAACTGTGTCTCATGTATTTCTATCAATAATTATGGTGACGACATTTACTTCGAAATGACGAACAGAACGCCTTTAGTTCATGCACACATTTCATCTGTTATATCGTATGCAATTGACGGCTTGAAGCAAATCTCTTGAATTGTAATATCCATTGTATACACTGAGACCAATGCTACTGATCAAGTTCTTCTTAAACTACCAAAACTTTATAATAAAATGTGTACATATGATCCTATTACACTCTGTTCACAAAATTTCAGTTTTCACTAACGAGTTTTTAGCCGTTGTAGTTAATGCTATGGTTGGACCACGATCATGGACAGGACTATTTACGCGGTCAAATAACAGACGAAATGACTCCTTAAGTCCTTTTCAGGTATATAGTTGTGGTGTTCCCTTGCCAACTTTTGCTTCTGATGTTGAATTTGTTTATGAACAGTTAATTTCTAAGGACTTGTATAGATATATGTGAAACTGCCGTAGAGTGTGAAATAGTATGACATTGTCACTTTGTATTTAAAAGCTTTCTTGGAATTTCTGAAGACTTAAGCATGCAATTCTAGCTTTGGTCACTTTTAGGTTCTTAAGTTAAGTACTTTGGTGTTACCCACCTTACTGGACTTCCAATGAAATTTTCAACTTCTATATACAGGAACAGAGACTTCTGAGGCTTCAAGCACGATTACAAGTACCTTTTGACGAGAATCGCCCTGATCATCAAGTATACTCTTCATGCTGGTTCTGAACATGTTTTTTTATTATTACTCTTGTCCATTGTTGTCTTGGTTTAATGTGGCTAAAATGAGCTACGATAGATTCTGATGACCGTACATTGTTTATTTCATTATCTATGATTCGAGTCTGCTAGAGAAACGATTTGCTATCATGACTAAACCATTTGATTGCAATTTAGTTTTCATGCCGAATCTTCAATAGCAGTACAAGATTTAAATCTTATCTTGTGACCATTATGCTTCAGGAAGCCTAAACCCCTTTTCGATAGCTATTTGGTTCTTCATCGTTGAATAAGTCTACGTTATTCCATTTAACTTCAGGAAGCCTTGAAAGCATTGTGGCATGCTGCCTTTCCAGATGTTGCTCTGCAAGGTCTGATCTCCGACCAATGGAAAGAGATGGGTTGGCAAGGTTCTAACCCCTCTACCGACTTTAGGTACAATTCTATCCAATTGAAACAAAGTTAGTCTGACAGTTTGAAATTGAAATACTTCGTCTTATTACTAGACTGTACTATTGCAATTCCATAGTTTATCCTCTTATAGTGAAATGCTCTCTTCAGGGGTTGCGGTTTTATCTCCCTCGAGAACTTGCTTTTTTACGCCAGGACTTATCCAGTATGCCCTCTTGACCTGCAAATATTCACATCTTCTCTTTCTGTGTTTTAGCTTACTAATCATATAAAATTCAAAATGAAGGCATCTTTCCGTAGGTTATTGTTCAAGCGAGATGGAAATCGAGCAACTTGGGAATACCCGTTTGCTGTTGCTGGCATAAATATATCATTTATGTTGACTGAAATGCTGGATCTTTGCTCAGGTTTGTAAAGAAGTTCTAACATCTATACCATGAATAGATTTTCTTATCATGTTTAATTGTAACGTTAAATTGAAATCATCTTCTTTCTTGAAGCAATTCAAACCATCTGTTTCACAAAATTTTATATAAGGAAAGTTCTTGAATCTTCCTCGTCTCCTCATATACTTTGCAGAAAAACCAAGGTGTCTTCCAGGAATAAATTTCGTGAAACTATTAGGAGGTAAATGTACATCTCAGATAAGGTTATGCTCAAATGTCTTCTGTTTGGTTACAGATCAAATGTCTTAAGAGTTAGAGAACTGTTAAAAAACAACACAGGTTACTGATATCGACCCTCATGAATTATGAGTTGCTTGCAGAAGATGAAGCCGCCTTTGATGTACTGTATTGTATAGCTTTCGAAATGGTTGATGCTCAGTGGCTCGCAGTGAATGCGTCCTACATGCAGTTTAACGTAACTCTCTCGCTCTAAGCATGCACATTATCACAAGCATGCGCGCACAACTTTCTAATGTTCGAATTCCTCAGAAATCATGCCTAGCATTTTCAACACTTATCAAATATTAGAAAAATGTATTTGAAACCTAGAATTCTACATATTATCCTCGGCTGTAATAACTACTTAACAAGATATACTTTAACTATCCCATACCAACGAGAACGTGCGAACCTCATCTATTTGTTTTTCAATATGCCCTTTAGTTAATGCTGGTTTATATTTGTTCACTCGTTTCTTAGTTTATCCTTGATAACACATCTTCCTGGTAATTTCAAACTCTTTAACCATTAGAGTTGAGCATTCATTGCAACACAGCTTCTTGTTTAACTTAGGTCATATTGGCTTGTTTGTTTGATGAGCTTTCCAATCACTAACCCTTAATTTTCTGCTTCAATCGTTCAGGAGGTTCTACAAGCAACAAGGACGCAGTTGGAAAGGGAGCTGTCTTTGGAAGATACTCAAAGAATACATGATTTACCAGCTTACAATCTATTGTACCAGTAGCTAGCTTTAGAGGTAGTACAAAATCCCCTTGAAAATTTGCTTGAATGGTTACTAGATGGAATGAATAATGATGATCAAACCAAGAATTGAAATGATTTGAGTATCTACAATTATTATTGGAGAAATTTTGTAATGCTTCAAGCTGCGTAATAACTACGTTATCTTTCAAACTCTATTCACCCCACATCTAATGTTAAAGCGAATATACAAATAAGTTATGTGGGTACAATGAAGCCCAACCTAATGGTATGTGTTATCGTTTTGTGTTTGTCAAACTTTTACTCTTAAGATAAACCAAACACAGTGAGAGACAGACAAGAATATTCAAGACTTAACTAAAAACGTAATATTGCATAGTTTAATTTCTAGAGTCTTAAATGTAATAACAATATTTAGATGGAACATGCATTTTGCTAGAAGTCTAGACATATTAAAAGAAATAATGGATTTGATTGTCTTCAAATCTTTTGCAGACAAGAATATTCAAGACTTAACTAAAAACCTAATATTGCATAGTTTAATTTCTAGAGTCTTAAATGTAATAACAATATTTAGATGGAACATGCATTTTGCTAGAAGTCTAGACATATTAAAAGATATAATGGATTTGATTGTCTTCAAATCTTTTGCAGTCTACCCCTATGTATGCATCTCTTAGAATGGTGTTGCATGTACCACTTGGTTTTGGACACAATTCTTGATCAAGATCTTGTTCTAGAAAACACTACGGCCATTTCCTTGATATGTCAATTTTATCGGAACAAAAGTAATCTACGCATCTGTCAGTGTATGCGAGATAGTTCTATCGGCTTGATCTTGTCAATGAAAGGTGAGCTGCTCATACAGGTTATGTCTTTTTTGAGTGCTACGTCAGTGGTCTTGATGCGCTGAAATTCGTGCAATTGTTCTACTACGAGTCTTTGTACTTCTTCATGGATTTTCCTATACTAAGGCAACAAAGCCTCTGACTACCTCCGGTGTTGACTTGCTGGTCTGTACTGTTCTTCTACTTATCCTCCTGGTTTGTGTCGTGGCTACGGTGTACGTGGTTCATCTCTGGCTGGTGAGCAAGCTGCTCGTAGTAGCTCTTGGCGTGGGTTGCCAATTGAACTCGAGATGGACTGCTCTCGTGTTTTCCTTTGTTCGTCGTGTTACCTACTCTGGTGCTTGATAAGAGAAACTTCTTGCAGGCCTAGCCATGAGTGGACACTTCATTTGGAATGTCTGGAATGCTTGTCATAGTATGGACCCAACCGTGAATGTATGTTGAACTTAAGGGCTAAGTAGGGAATGTACACTTCCAGAATGCTTGGTTCATGGCTGGTCAAATGGCTATTTGCTAAGACATTGCTGGTAAGAGTCATGATGATCTGCCCTTGTTCTGCTTTGGGATACCTCGCCTGGGGCGAGCTGCATCTCAATGTGCTTCAGGAGCTGGTTCACCATAGTCGTCTGCTGCGCAAGGGCACTGGTTAGGTCGGCAACCTACCAGGACAGGTGTTGTTCGCCATTTGGGGTGAAAGAGCTCGGATGATGGGCATCTCCGTAAGTGGTGGAAGTGTAATGAGTTACAGGTGCAAAACTTGGGCCTAGATAAAGCAAACCTATGGAAAAAATGGCAAAATTACCCTTGGTCCAGTCACCGGTCCAAAAATCAGTTACCCAACCTGAGTAAGAGCTAGTTTGGTGACTTGAAGCCAGGTCATCTAAAATGGCTTGAAAACCAGTATAAGGACCTGTGGTTGGGTCGATAGAGCAGGTTTGGCGCACGAGCATGGAACCGTTTCGGCTTGGCCCGCTTAACCGTGGGCTAGAACCCGTTGGGCTTACACGTGGGTCGCCTGCCCTTGGGCTTGGAGTTTCTCTGCTATTGCTCGCTAAGTTTGGGTCGTCTGGGCTACATGGTTCGCAGCTGCTGCAATGGACTGGGCTCATGCCCGTGTCACCCTTGAGCTTCATGCCTTAGGCTTTCTATTCTATGGACATGAATTTTATGCCCAGGGTTTGTGGTTGCACCGTTATAGGCTTAGGCTTTGGTTGCTCGACTTACAACAGGGGTTGCCATCGCATGGGCCTTTTGTCCGTGGTTTGTAGCTGCAACTACAGCGTGGGCTGTTGCTTGGTGGACGCGTAGTGGTTGCTAGGCAGCGGCCACAGTGGAGGTAATGGTGCTCCACGGCGGTAGGGCACCACCTACCATTGTGTTATGTGTTGAGGATCATCGATGTGGAGCAACATCTTGGTATTTGTTCTCCGACCCAAATACTTGAACGTAGAGCATTCCATTCGTCATGGTTCCAGAATTTTCTACCATTGTATCCTTTCTCTAGGGACTAATCAAGAAACTATTCTTTGAAAAATTAAATGATATTGCGTGTGAGAAATTCAATATAACAAAATATTCTAAAAATCAATTGCGAGATTCTTCTTTGAGTGTTTGAATCAAGCTCTCAATGAAAGCACCAATATGTGGTAGCAAAAATCCGATGTCTTTAGTCTTGACAAATTTGTACCTACAAAACAATCAACACATTTGATTAAAGACCAAAGCCTTATGTGCCCACAAGGCAGGGGTAGGGGGAGTTTGGCCAATGGATCGTCGATGCCTAAGTTAGTTTCTATGAAAAAAGTGAGTGTTTAAGGCTTGTATGCGTAGGAAAAAGCTTGCCAAAATTTGGTGGAGATAGAGGTATTTATAGGAGGAGGTGGCTGACCATGGGGTTAGGGTTTTGCCTACACATGTTGGCATCCTACTGGCTAATGTGTGTCATCCGTTGGATGAATGAGGCAAACACATCCCCAAAATATTAATTAAGATAAAATTTCTTGGGATAATGGTGGAAGTATCCCTAATTCATTGTGATAAGGATTCATTACTTGATTGAGTTGATCTTCAATTGGGAATGTATTAAAGACATGATTTAGTAATTAACCCTATCTTTAATACCTTTGACTTTTTCATGCCATGAGTAAGGCAGCTTTGAGTAGTCGTAGTCAGCTGCTTGGACACTTAGGGATGTTGAGCTGCACGTGGGAACAGTGGAGGGTCCTGCCCATTTAATGAAGGCAAAAAAAAATTCAGGTCTGGTATTTTGATTTTCTGAGATTATTTATGTAATTGTTGTTCATCGAATTTTCTTAGATCCAAACTAAAATAATAACATCCCTTTCATATAATTTCCTAATACATATAGATATATTAACTTCACATTTAAGAAATTCTCCCCGATCCCGATCTATCTAAAAAAAAAAAAAAAAAAGGTCGTACCCAGTGCACAAGGCTCCTGCTTTACGCAGGGTCTGGGAGAGGTGAATGTCGGCTAGCCTTTCCCCCATATATGGAGAGGCTGCTCCCAAGCCCGATCTATCTAAAAAATAGTTATAATTCATTTATCATATTTACACATACATAAGAGCTTATGCATGAAGGAAGCCACATATTATATATCATATTTTACTAAATAGATATATCCATGTTATGATCCAAGTATGATTTTGAATTGAGCTATTTACTAAAATGTACAATATTGAACATTAATCTGTTGTAGACTTAGCATTATTGATTAGAGTAACGTAATCAATCCTTCAAGTATAAATTATCATATTGTTTCTTAAACAAATAGCAGTAAATTTGTCGGCTAGTTAGTGCATGTGCATTAGGAGGTTGATTAATCCATACATTCAACATATTTCCAATAATTAATTGATTCCTTCAGCTTTAACTGCTACCTGCTACACCGAGTACTACACTTTACCAAAAGGTTTCAACATTATTGAGATTATATAATAGGGATGTGATATCCACTCATTACATTTTACTTCTCACACACATTTTTAATTTTCGGCCGTCGGATCGGATAAATTGAAGAAGATCAACGGATAGAAATTAACAAGAATGTGTGAGAAGTAATTTTGGGTGTGTGGGTAGCACACCCCTATATAATATTCCCTTCTTTATATAACTCATGTATCTGAAAAATAGTTATAATTCATTTATCATATTTACACATATATAAGAGCTTATGCATGAAGGAAGCCACATATTATATCATATTTTACTAAATAGATATCCGTATTATGATCCAAGTATGATTTTGAATTGAGCTATTTACTAAAATGTACAATATTGAACAATAATCTGTTGTAGACTTAGTATTATTGATTAGAGTAACGTAATCCCTTACGTATAAATTATCACATTGTTTCTTAAACAAATAGCAGTAAATTTGTCGGCTAGTTAGTGCATGTGCATTAGGAGGTTGATTAATCAACACATTCAACACATATCCAATTATTAATTGATTCCTTCAACTTCAACCGCTACCTACAACACCTACTGAGTACTCCAGTTTACCAAAAGGTTTCAACATTATTGAGATTATATAATATTCCCTTCTTTATATAACTCATGTAATTAGCACCACTTTCAAAAGTACTCTATAGATTGAAATGCAGGAAGAACCAGAAATTGAGGCAAGCCTAAGAGGCCAAGCAGATATATGGAAGTACATGTTTGGTTTTGCTGATTCCATGGCCTTAAAATGTGCTGTGGAGCTACGCATAGCCGATATCATACACTCCCATAGACCTAGTGATGGTGCCTCAAACTCAAACCCTATGATCGCTTTGTCCCAATTAGCCTCATGCATAGCACCCTCCCCAGACATCACTTCCCTCACACGCATCATGAGACTTCTTGTCCGCCGGAATATATTCGCCGTTCATCACCCATCTGATGGCGGGGAACCTCTTTATGGTTTGACACATTCATCAAGATGGTTGTTACATGACGCAGAGCTGAGTCTAGCGCCTATACTTATGATGAATAATCACCCCTGCCTAATGGCGCCTTGGCACTATTTCAGCCGAAGAGTCAAAGAAGGAGGTCCATGTGCCTTTGAGATGGCCCATGGGCTTGATATTTGGGACTACGCTTCTCAAAATCCAGAGATCAACAAATTGTTCAATGATGGCATGGCCTGTACTTCTAGGTTTGAATTGAAGGAAATACTCACAGGTTATGAACATGGGTTTGATGGTGTGGGATCGTTAGTGGATGTAGGTGGTGGGACTGGAAGTGCAGTGGCTGAGATTGTCAAGGCCTATCCCAACATCAAAGGTTTCAATTTTGATCTGCCCCATGTC